GCCGCTTTGAGCGTTCACACTAGAGCGCGTTTGCTGTCACATTTTATTTGTAGTGTGAACGAGCAGACAAGAAAATAGGATTTGATCAAAAAATCTGAATTGAGCATCAAGACCTGCAGAGTGAACGTAGCCTTAGTTTGGTCCACAGGAGTCGATTTGTGTTGCACGTTGCAGTAATTAATAAAATAAAATCTTTCTATATACAGTTTCAAAGCAGTTTCAGTCAAGCAATAGCAAAGATGCTGAACACACAATCCACTGTGGCATGAACTGAACACCTGACAAACAAGCTTAGTTTTCCCCAATTTATGGTTTTATTGTCATACTTGTTTGCGTTGATAACATTTGAACACGCTCAAGCACACTGCCAGAACGCCACATGAGAAACCAAAAACTGGGTAAGAGCAGAGGGAAACATGTACACCCAAGATCAACATTTGGTCTCAACTGTTTAGTTCTTTCAATTTCCTTTGCAAGTTACTGTGGAATCATTTTACACTCCGAGCAGAATCCTGGTCCACATCTGTTCTCAGATATCAATTCTGCCATTTGTCATTTATGCAAACAAGAAAAAAAGTGGAGGGGAAAAAAAAAATCATGTATGATAAGCAGACCAGAGTAAGGAGGTGGGGGAGGTGGAGGGAGGGCTAACCCAGAATGGCATAGCTGAGCTCTCAATATGAGAAAGCCGACTCGTGTGGACATCATCTTGGTTTGTCATTTGCTTAAAAACATGTTTCTTTTTCACATGAGTTTATTTTTCTGAAGCTGATCTTCAGCACGCAGAGAGGGGGCGTGCAGGGAGGCGCTGTCACCACTGATAACAGTGTGGGCGGGTTAAGACCAAGCTCCGCCTGCTCCTCCTCACTCAGACTCTTAGACTCGCCGTCAATCTTCAGTCCCGCTCAGCCACCAGCTTCAGCACTTTCCCGATCGCGATGGTCTTCCCTGGAACACCAACAAAGAAGACACTCTGAACCAATCTGAGTCCTAACACGGCTCTGCTATTGCAGTTCTGCTTCATTATATGTAGGATATGAGTTCCATATACATGCAAGTAAGTCCTGCTGTGAGTGACATTGATGCAAGCAGAAATCTAATGTGGCTGCCTCATGCACAGGTGTGACTGCGAGGACAGATGCTCTGCACATCTGTACACCTGTGTACTGCGCTGCAAGTCGAAGAGTAAAAACGAGCATGACTGTTGATGAGTCTTTAAACCAGCTGCTTACAAAGCCTTTTATGAATGAGCTGCATCACCGAACCCGCACCCTGAAGTGGGACACCGATTTCTCCTCGCTGGACCGAGCAGTGAATCTGATGGCACAGCTGATGTCTGCACGATGCAACCAGCAATAAAATAGTGGTTTTCTGTGCACATCCAACCAGTTTACCACATAGCTGCTTGTCACTTGCACATCACACCAGTTTCTCTCTGAAGCATGAGCAGGAACATCCACCAGCCTGTCTGCAGATGTGAGGGGGGAAAAGTCTCTCTGAAACGTATTTTGCACATATCAATTTAGTTTTCCTGCAGACGTATCAGGGAATGCCAGCACTCTCAATCACTTATGTTTGTGATGCAGCTGTTATGTTGGAAAGTGTTTTATTGCATAACAGAGTGCCGATTACATGATGCAGACATGAACCGATTGTGCCAGTGTACCCAACCCAATGAGGACAAACCAGCGTGCCCGACTCCAGCTCATCTGTTTGGTGATGACGTCGCCATAAAAGGTCTTTCAGACAGTGGTTGAACTGAAGAGCTGCTTAAGGCCTAGT